GTTAACTTGCATCCCTAATTTATACAGGAATTAAATTAATTTGTATCTACTCATATTTATGTAATTAAGTGTTTTAATGATTGATTAATCGAAAAAATAATCAACAGATTAATCGATTATTAAAATAATCGTTAATTGCAGCCCTACATATCACTCAGCCCTAGATGTAGTGCTGACTGACACCTTCAGGGACTACTCAGCTGAGGGTTTCTTAAGTCAAAACACCATAGCCAGTTCCTTTCGAATTCAAATTTTGGGTGTGTGTTTTTGTTTTGTGTTTGTTTTTTCCAAGACCCACAAGCTCCTTGCTCTTTATAAGCACAGACGAGGAAAAAAAACACAAACTGTATTGACACAAAGACTGGCTTAAAGTATGCAGCAGCGTGAATACGACTGAATTAGTTCGTCGACTCCTGTTGCTCTCATCAGCTGAGCTTTTTTCCACGCCTCTTTAAATCCACATTGATGTTCTCTGAAAGCGTGTTTGATCGCAGTAACACAGAATAGGCTGTTCGCCCATTTMATGGTACTGTCTCCTGAAAAAGCCTACTGTTTTAATCAAACACATAAGCTTTAATGTTTCTTTTCTGACAGTTTTCATCATTATAATATCCATACAGATCTGTTTTGATTTAGCTATAGTGATAAGATGACTTGTCRTTCCCTATAAGTTCTGATTTCTCCTCTCTTTTTGTTAGTGACCCTGCTCTSCAGTGATTTTGTGTTTGTGCATCAAAGATTAAGACAAAATTTATCTCTTGAAAATAGTGAGAATTGCTCTCCTTGTCTGGATGTGCTTTCCTTTTAACTAAATCTGACAAACATGTATCAAACCAAAGCCTTTAAGTCACATCACAACAGAGAAGCCCAACAAAAAGCACAAAAAAAACATAATAAAAAGAAACCCCAACAAAGAGTAAGCAGACGCCACCTGTTGTTCTCCATTAGAGAAAGACTTAAAATCAATTCTAAATTACAGCTCACACACATCATTACAAAAGTGATGGATTCCCAAAGTACTCTGTAAATTAACAAATTTATATGAATCCTTTCAGTTGCTTGATCTACCATTTTATTGGTTCCTCACTCCAGAATGTTCCATTACTAACCCATCTTGTTGTTTATTCTAACGTTTGCCTCTAATTTACCATCTTTTAATATTTTTTCAGTGAGGGAGACTGGTGGGAGGCTCGGTCCCTTACTACAGGTGGAAATGGATACATTCCCAGTAATTACGTAGCTCCGGTGGACTCAATCCAAGCCGAGGAGTGAGTGAAGTTTTTTCTCATCCACATCTAGATTCCGAGAGGCACGGCAGCTCCATCACCGGGGAGCATATCCTAAATAATTTAAAAACTACAGAAAAAAATGGTTTAAAACAAATGTTAGACTTCACAGTTGATATTTTTCCGTCCCCTGCAGCTGGTATTTTGGTAAATTGGGTCGAAAGGACGCGGAGAGGCAGCTGCTTTCCGGTGGCAACGCCAGAGGCACTTTCCTCATTCGAGAGAGCGAAACAACCAAAGGTACTCACAGCGAGCAGCAGCAACACACTGACAGGAGCAAGGTTTTACGACATTTGATTAAAACAACAAATTCAACCCAATTCCAAAAAAGGTGGGATGTTGTGTAAAATGTAGATATAAACTATGCAAACATTTGAAAATCTAATACAATATATTTTTTTCCSAGTGACAGTAAACATATCCAAAAGTTAGAAAGTATATTATTTGTAGAGAAAAAATGTAGACAATTTTCAATTTGATGACAGCCACACAATTCAAATAAAGTCCATGGGATCGTTAGCATTGAGAAGCATCCCCTCTTCCTTCAAGAACAATCTGTAAATGTCTGAGACCAGTTGTTGGCGGTTTAGGAGGGAAATGGTGCTTTCTTGTCTGACAAAGGATTCTAACTGTTCAAAAGTCATGAATGGGAGGTCATATTTTTTAAGAGCCTGTATATACTTCTCTACATTGATGGTGCCTTTCCAGATGTCTAAACTGCTCATGCCAGAGGCACAAAAGAACCCCTATACCATCAGAGGGGCAGGTTTTTGAAAATATTTTTTGTAGACTGGTGAACTTCTACCCATCTTTACTCCTGAGAAATTCAGCCTTTCTAAAATGACTTGTTTAGTCCGCTTACTGACCTGCTGCTAGTTAATGTAATTAGTTGCAAAATTCTCCTCCAGATGTTTCTTATTCATAACGCTTACTTTTAAAGTCTTGTTGCCAATGCCCAAACTTAAAAAGAAATGTTTCTGCCATCAAATATAAAATTACATTATTTGTTTCTAATAATGGCACAGWTAATAAAAGAAAACATTTGATATGTTTACAATGTTCCATTATGAATAAAATATTAGTTTACATAGAAGCACCTCAATGTGCAAACAGAAACTAATCATTTTAAATTAAACATGCAACAGAGCAACTTTTGATATACTGTAAGATTGCACCATAAAGTATCCAGCTGCTCATTTTTCCATTTTTCAATAAAGTTTAACACTTTTGGTTGTTAGTTAACATATTGTATGTGTTGCTTCTGTTCCAGGGGCCTACTCTCTTTCCATCCAGGACTGGGATGACATCAAGGGAGACCACGTTAAACACTATAAGATACGCAAACTGGACAATGGGGGCTACTATATCACCACCAGGGCCCAGTTTGAGACCCTCCAACAGCTGGTTCAGCACTACTCTGGTGAGAGTGCTGCACTTCTRTGTGCAAAAACCTCTTGTTGTGACAGTTCTGGGTCCTTTTTTGTTCTTCTTTATAATAAAATGTTTCCATATTTTTCCTCCAGCCAGGGCTGCAGGGCTGTGCTGCCGACTGATCGTGCCGTGCCACAAAGGCATGCCTCGTCTCGCTGACCTGTCCGTCAAAACCAAAGACGTGTGGGAGATCCCGAGGGARTCTCTGCAGCTCGTTAAACGCCTCGGCAACGGCCAGTTTGGAGAAGTCTGGATGGGTGTGTATCTTTCTGGCAGAGAAGAGTTGGACAGCTGTAGGCAAAGTTGCGAAACAGCTGTATGTGATTGAGTTCAGTGAGAAACTGCATCCAATTTTGACCAAGACCCTCAAACAAAACACTGCTTTAACAAAACACATTTTACAACATCCTTTTACCATTTCATTGCTATTTAAGTTAAGATAATAASATATTTTAAAAACAGGATTTTGATGGAGTCTGTATCTGCTTGTTTTTTGTCAGGCACATGGAACGGTACCACCAAGGTGGCTGTAAAGACTTTGAAACCAGGCACCATGTCCCCTGAGTCGTTCCTGGAGGAAGCTCAGATAATGAAGAAGCTCCGACACGATAAGCTGGTGCAGCTCTACGCCGTGGTATCTGAAGAACCCATTTACATCGTCACTGAGTACATGAGCAAAGGTACAGGCTAGGGTTGTGTACAACACTAGCTAAAACCTAAAAAGAGATTAGTTGAAGGTAAAACCTAATATAAGCAGCACAACGGCTCAGTGGTTAGCACTGATGCCCCACAGCAAGAAGGTCCTGGGTTCAATCCCCGTTTCGGACCTGGGGTCTTTCTGTGCAGAGTTTGCATATTCTCCTCGTGCTTGCGTGGGTTTTCTCCGTGTACTCCGGTTTCCCCCACCCCCCCAAAACATGTACAACAGGTTGCCTTCAGTCCCAGGCCGCCCTTGAAAAAGAGATCAGAGATCTCAGTGGGGCTTGCCTGATAAAATAACAGTAAATAAGCAAATTGCCAGCCAACAGCCTTTAGTAACAAAATACTAGATAAAAGCCAAAAGGAGCAGAGCACTACTTAAAAGTAACAAAACACTAGCTGAAAGCTAAATGTAGCCCAAGGCTAATTAGAAGTTAAATGTAGCAGAACTGTGCCTAAAAGTTAAAATTGCAAAGTTCTAGCTAATATTATCAAAACACTGTCTAAAAGCTAACTTTGGAAAAGGATAGTTCAAAGCTAGTAAAATGTAGGCTAGAAAAGCTTGTTAGAAACTAAATGTAGAAAAATAGTTGTTAGCGACAAAACAATAGCTAAAAGCTAAATGTAGCAAAAAAATAAAATAAATGAAAGCTAACAGTAGCAGAATGGTAGTTAATCTGCAAAATTCTAGCTAAAATTATCAAAGCGCTAGCTAAAGGCTAACTGTGAAAGGATAGTGAAAAGCTAAAAATATCAAAGTGTGAGTAAAAATCAAAAATAGCCATAAAAATCTAGCTAGAAACTAAAGAAGAATAATAGTTAGCAACAAAAGGCTAACTAAATGTTAAAGGTAGCAAAAAATCAATAGAAGCTAAAAGAAACAAATTGGTAATTAAAAAGTGAAAATAACAAACTGATGGCTAAATGTAACATAAAAAGACCAACAGCAAACAATCCGTGAAAGCACATTTTAAATGTCCCTTTGTTTTTATGAAGTTTTTTTTTTCTGTGTGTTTAGGACAACAAATGTAATCTAGTTAGCAAACTCATTCCGTGCATTTATATCGCTAAAATGTTGTTAAATGTGCCTTGTCCTTATAAATAAATAAATAAGAGATCTTAATGGATTTCTGTTGTTAAAATATTTGTTGATAAAAAAAATCACATTTTTGACCTCTCCTGAATGAGCTGAACCATGAAAAACCATGGTTAATTTTAACAATGGTACATATGGTAGAAAGTACACAGAAGTATTTAAATGTAAAAAAAAAAACTTTCAGAAAAAGAGTTCTGAGTTTAGAAAATCAACAGCAGGTGACAATTTATTTCTTCACTTTCTGTAAATCTGACTTGAGATCTGCCGGTTAAAGTTAATGTGTGATGTCACATCTAGAAATATTGACAAAGATTTTGTCTCATTTTCAGGAAGTTTGCTTGATTTCCTTAAAGACGGAGAGGGACGAGGCCTCAAACTGCCAAATCTGGTGGACATGGCAGCTCAGGTGGGCCGTTCATTTCTTGCCTAATTCTTGTATTTTACTTTGAATTTCATTTTTCTTTGGACTCATTCGATCCTCCTCAAGTTTTACCAATTTGTCTTTTAAAATCAAGTTTGTACATTTTTAGTCATTGATACTCTGATAACTTGTGTACAATATGTATATAGTAAACTGCTGTTTTCTCATTCAGCAGGTCTGTTGACTACTACTGGATGATAAAAAAATAACTGAAGATTTTGTTTTTATCATTTTGACTCTAATAACTTGAGATGCTGGATCGAGTCTAACAAGTATTTTCTTAGCACAGATTTGATGACCTTGAAACTGTTTAATGACGTGACGCTAAATGGGAGGAAAAAATTACGCTGTTTCCCAGGTGGCAGCGGGAATGGCGTACATAGAGAGGATGAACTATATCCACAGAGACCTGCGCTCCGCCAACATCCTCGTCGGAGACGGCCTGGTGTGTAAGATTGCTGATTTTGGTTTGGCGAGACTCATTGAAGACAACGAATACACGGCGAGGCAAGGTAGGAGTGCTGGACTGTGTTCCACCAGATCTTRCTACATCAGTCTATAGCTTCTTTTTTGTTATTCTTTTACCATCTGTACTTAAATCTAWTTATTTACAGAGCGCAAAAAACATTAAGCCACTGCCATTTTGGTCAAACCTTTAAAAATAAAAACAATTTCACACAAGATCTCAAACAATGGCATGCATGACTCTCAGCTACTACCACATCTAATTCTAGCACAATATCTGTTAAAAAAATTAGACAGAATTTTGCTATTTTAGCTTCATGGAAGTCTGACCACAGCTTTAGCATTTTAGCTTTCATGTTAGCTTCTAAGCTAATGTATAAGCACCTCTGAAAAGTGAGTACACCTCTAACATTTTTTGTAATTAAAACACTGAAGATACAATGTGAAGTAGTCAGAGTACAGCTTATATAAAAGTGTAACTTCTGGTGAGACACACTGTTTATATATGGCATTAGTGCTCCGATGCTAATTTACTAAGTATCCCGTTTGATCGTTTCAACCCATTTGTTGTGCAGAACATAGAAACTAATACAAAATTTATTGTCACACATTATAGCTTTTTAGCTGTGACTCTTTGCATTTCTGTTTTAAAAGATTTTTTTTTTCGTCTTCTGCTACCTTTCATTTATGATTTGTATTTTTATTGTATATAGAATTAGTTTTTTTTWAAGAAACGAATAAACTAATACTATGGTTAGTCTCAATTGCAACCCTTCGATAACAAAATAKCGTTGTGYTTAAGTGAAACAGGTATTAAATACAGATTTCTAGGTAGTTAGATGTTTTCATGTGTCACAATCAACTTTTAGTAGCATAGAGAATATATTAAGAAGATATTAAGTCCAWCATGTCCCTTTAAACTGGGTTGGCTCTAAAGGTTAACTGGAGATATGCACCGAGACACAGGCAAAACCATTGCTGCCCATCTTTAGGCAGAGCAAGGTAAATATCCTCTGAATTAGTCATTAAGTTTAAGTTTAAGTATTTTTTCATTTATTAAGCACCCTTCATAGTAGTGCTGGGCGGTATACCTGTTCGTACCAAATACCGGTTTTTATTTTTGTTATGATATGAATTTTCTGAGTACCAACATACCAGATTAAATAGCCTGAACACGTGCAGAACGTTTCGTCACGGCCGCCAGTGAACTGTTCCCCGGGGTACACTTTTCTTTGCAGTACCGCTATGTGCATTAGCATGCTAATGTTATTGTTGGAGTAATTTGTTGCAGTGGCGGGTGGCGATTCCTCYGCTTATATTGGCTGACGTTAAAAAAAMCATTCTGTTTTCGCCAACGCTTAATGTAGTTAACACATCTTCAGTGACGTGCWCRGTTAGATTTAACACGTGACGTTAATGTGGAGATGTGGAGACGCATGGAGACTTTAACRTGCTTTTATTGTGAAAAGCCCAGGGGATGTAGCTTTGTAGCGGAGTTGAGTTGACTGGTATGCAAGGTGAGTCGTCTCGTCCTGATAAGGTTTATTAAATAACATAAAACAACAGACCCGATAATAATCTTTTCTTAACCCTCCTCCTTCACGACCGGACCAAAATGCGTGACTACTGTCTCCAACCACYAGTCAGAGAAAAGACACATAGGAGGGAAACAGCGACACAGACAGAGGTACAGTAAAAGAAAAAAGTTAATAAGCAGTTTTTTTTACATTTTATTATCAGCTGASCTGTGATGAAAAGAAAAATACCGTGATATACCGTGAAACCGATGTAAATGTTGAAAATACCGTGATATAAAATTTTGGTCATACCGCCCAGCTCTACTTCATACCAAAAGCAGTTCAAGGTGCAGTACAAAATTATGCACAATAAACAAACCCATAAAAAACAGCAGCAACAATAACAACAATACAATAAAAACAATCATTAAAAAATTAAAATAAAATAAAATGTAATGATCAGGAAAGATACAGTTCAAGTCTATTAAGTCGACTCTTGTGAGAATTTTTGTTGTATTTACACATTTCTTCACACACTTTAAACTCTGAGCATTAACCTTGACAGTAACCATACAGTGCCATCCAAACACAGTCATAATGTCTTTAATAAAGCTTTTAGCTCCTGCTATAGAGCGTGTTGTGTTTCTGAGGCACATCATCAGGAGAAACGTTTGGCAGCTTCACGTGTTGACCAAGAGAAGAGTGGGTTTGTTTGGATGAAATCAGTGGAAAATAGGAGTGTGTGGTCACGTGGAACATGGCACCAGCCTTAACTGAATACAAAGACAGACAGAAGGCTGCCCAGCATTCAGACTTTGAGTTTCTGTTGAAGGAAAGGTCAGACCACAAAAAAATATTCATTTCTTTACTAAATCAGACTCGAGCTTCGCCGAGGCAACTTCCAAGCTTCATTAGTCGTCCAGTCAGTCGCTCATTTAACAACAGTTCCAAYGTATGGTTGTCCAACCTGGGCCAAAAGCAAACTTCAACAGAGGAAGTTAATGAAATTGTTCCCCAGTGGGAAATGATGTCCATATGTGTCTCTGCGAGAGGAAAACCACAGCCGAAGAGGGAAAAATCTGTGGGGTGAATGTTGACCTACTTACTCTTTAAGTGTTTCTGCAGGGACTGAGAAGCAACAAACGTCGCCACGATTTTACTGYCAAAGATTTCTATATCACATCGTCTACCTGCTTTGTTTCAGGCGCCAAGTTTCCCATAAAGTGGACCGCTCCCGAGGCTGCGCTCTACGGGAAGTTCACCATCAAGTCAGACGTGTGGTCGTTCGGCATCCTGCTGACAGAGCTGGTGACCAAAGGCAGAGTGCCGTATCCAGGTGAGCCCGCAGAGCTTTGTGGGTTCTAGAGTCACATGAAGCTTCCTGTTAACTGTTCATTTTTGATTATTAATTTATGTGACATTGCTGCTTTTCATACCAGAGTTTAAACTAAWATCTTGTGCTGAGGAGGCTGTTTAGGTCAAAACTTATCAGAACATTATTCACAATCTCATGCAAGATCTCACCAGACGGGTTAGTTCTCAGAGTGTGTTGTGAACGACTTTCAGCTACTATTACACATAATTTTAGCTAAATGTCAAATTTACTAACTTAGAACCATKTTTGTGTTAGGCTAACTCAGGGGTGTCAAAACACATTTTCATCGAGAGCCACTTGAGCATTATGGTGGCCGTCAAAGTAATCAACTTCAACATTTCATGTTTAACTTCAACTAAACAGGCATTGTCACATTCCTTGTCTCATTGCGCCGGCTGAGCACAGCTAACAAACAGAGCTTTATGTGGTATTTCCTGCATAGAAACAGTGTTTTAACACGTCCTCATGTGAACACTGAAAAGTACTACGTGTACGCTTGACCAAATGTGAAACAAATAATACAGAAATACTACTAAAAGTAAGAGTTTTACTCACTGTTGAGTTTTGGTGAGTAGCTGCCATCTTGAATTTTGCACTGGGGTGGTCGGGACGTCCCAGTGGAAGGGGCGTTCCAGTTTAAATTTACGACTTGTAAGTGGGAGATTACCACTTCCCAGAACAACCGGGCCGTATCAAAAATAGCCAGCAAAAATGCTACTAAATGGAGATTTTACACAACAAATTTTGTGAACTACTTTTGAACCCTGTGCACCTCCAGCTGGTGGTGGGCTGCCGTCATTTCACAGGTAAAATAACCAACATGCATTGTGGGAGATGTAGTGTATGGTCAATACTGGCTTTAAAGCACATTAATACAAATTTGAAGCGCTTGCAGCCCCAACCCATTCTCACTCCCATGTCGTCACATATTGACGCTTTTCCAAGGTTCCCTCTACGTCCGATTTTGACGCGCAGGGTACCCCCGTCACGTCAGTTACTGACGAGATGGGGCGAAATCTGTTGCCATATTTTCAGAAAGTGTAGAAAATGCGCAAAAACTACCGTTTCGAAGGCTGAAATTACCTTTGTTCACTTTAGACATCCTGTCCCTGACCCTAGTACCTAAAATTAACCATTTTTAGAAAATGTAGGAAATTCACGTCAACATGTTCCAAAGCCTGAAATTACCTAATATTTACCATGGACATCCTACCCCTGATCCCAGTACCTAAACTTAACCATTAATCCTGATCCCTCATGTTAACCTCAGACCCCCGACCCAAAGACCCCTGGTGGCGCAACCCGGAAAAGCCGCGGGCGTCAAGGACTGACGCGAGGGGGGTACCTGATGCGTCAAAATAAGACGCAGAGGGAACTTTGGAAAAGCGTCAATATGTGACGAGTCGGGAGTGAGAATGTGTAGGCAGCCCACATAAAATGAAGTGCTGGGCCACATTTGGCCTGCAGACCTTGAGTTTAACAAATGTGGGCTAACCTCTCTCATAATGAACTGTGTTGACTTCTAAAAATAATGAGTTGTAGATTTACATCTAATGGTTACTTTCTAAAAATTCATTAAATACTGTCCAGAGATTCTTGAGATATTTTGCTGACAAACRCTTTTGACACCAGTAGTTAATGGTAAAGTTTTAAAAGCACATTTTAATATCTATAAACCTGGCTTAGTTGATCTGTGGCAACCATCTTTTTATTTGCTTTTATTCAACAGCAAATAAAAACAACATGGCAAATCCCATTTAGATCACAGATCTCTTTTGCAAGGGTGGCCTGGGCCTCAAGGCAACTTAGTGTACGTATTTGTTTGTGCGATATTTTATTTAATTTACATTGAAAGTTGATCAGCTGTTAATGTACACCCAGTGATTACAGACAAAATGAGTTGGGTTCAACTGTCAGTGCTAAAAATCTTAACAAAATTCTTGTGTAACAAATTTCACTTGGGAGATGAGTTATGAATAACTCTCAGCTACAACCACAACAAATTTTAGCTTAAAATGTGTAAAATCAACTAAGCTGTAGCCCTTTTATATTCGCTAGGGTTAGTTAGCTGTGGTGGCCATCTTGAATCTGGTTGTATCCAAATGTTAACCATAATTAAAATCTGTGCTCTGGTTCATAGGATATGCTGCTAACAGACAGACAAACACAGGTAGCTACATGATTTAAAGGCAGCTCTTGAGCGATTGGYTAGTGCTCAGAATAAATGTTGTGAATGAGTCTCAGCTACTACTACGCCGGATTTTAACCCAGTATTTTTTAATACTGGCGGAGTTCTAGCTGTTTTTGTGTTTTCTAAAACCAGCTGGCTCTACCGGCCATCTTGAGGTGAGTTGACTCCAAAAGTTTATTAATTGTAGACATTTATCCAGAGATTACTTTCTGTGAGTTTCATTAAAATCCATGTAGTGGGTCATGAGGTATTTTGATAACAGACAAACACAGACAGGCAAAAAACATTTTCACCCTTTCCCCTTCAGTGTGGGACAATAGAAAAACACAATAAATCATGTTATAAATAGAAAAAATTTCGTAAAAAGAGCTGTTAAACTGTTTTCTGATCAGAATTAAGAAAAAAAAAGATCTTCTCCTTCTTTTGTCCCCCCCAGGCATGAACAACCGGGAGGTGCTGGAGCAGGTGGAGCGAGGCTACCGGATGCCGTGCCCACAGGACTGCCCCACATCCCTGCACGAGCTGATGGTGCAGTGCTGGAAGAAAGACCCCGAGGAGAGGCCCACCTTTGAGTATCTGCAAGCCTTTTTGGAGGACTACTTCACAGCCACTGAGCCTCAGTACCAGCCAGGAGATAACCTCTGAGCAAGTCATGTTATTACACTGGCTSTCCACCAGAGGGCACCACAGTTCWATTTTATTTTATTTTTTATTTCTCATCTTAGAAAAGCTTTTTGACTGACTTATTGAATTCCAACCAAGGAGGACGGAGGAGCAGCAAACCGACCATCAAATGAAAGGATGTTTTGGGTTTGGGATGGGGGGAGGGAATGAATTAAACCAACATGAGTTCTGTTGTGTGATTTGTATGTAGTGTAAATATAAATTGCTTGTTTACTTAACTTTTTGTTCGTTTAATTTTATATTCCTTTTGATAATTTAAGAATATGTGGGAGTTTCTTCTTTTATTTTATTTCTCAAATTTATTGGTTCTGATTTTCGCAGGAAAGAAGGATAAAAGTCGTAACAGATGTTATGGACCGAAGCATTTCTTTAAAAAAAAAATCTTCCGGGAGTTCTCTTACCTTTTTTTTAAACATTTTTTTTATATAAGGCTAATATAACAAAACTTCTCTTCTCTTCTCAAGGAACTTTAGATGTACTTATAAAACCYGTTTTTGCCTTTTCATGTTTAGTAATATTCTTCTAATGCAAAGGAATGCCTTCATGCTTTCTACTCACTAACTCGACTCATCCACCCCAACTCAAACTGTACGACTTCATCACGGAGATTAAGTGGATTCATTGCATTTCGGCTTCAGCCAATTACTTTTTTATTTTAGAGCGGCTTAACGTACCTTTTTAGTTTAGCTTTCTGTAGTTTAAAAAACGGGGCTGATTTCCTCTCCTGCTGAAACCATTGTTTAGCTGACTGCTTAGTGTCCTGATGACAGTGTATGTTGCATTAATGTTCGGCAGCAGGCTGTATACAAACTCTGATCCTTTCGCTTTCAGCAGCCAAACAAACTGCCACTGACACCATGAGAATGAAGGATGTGTACTCGTATTTGTCCCTCCATTCTGTGTATTTTGGAATAACATGTTTACAAGAGCATTTTTTTAAATATTCTACCAGTGTTATATGTTGCAGGTTGTTGTTTTTTTACTTGGTATTGAGCTCATCTCTGGATGAGAACGTACACTTCAGGATCAAAGCGCCATTTCTGTGTATTTATGTTGCTCTCCACGGGTGGTAAAGTGAATGATAACTTTTGTTTTTTATCTCCTTTTTTCCTAATTTATTAGGCACACGGGAAGGTTTTTATTTTTTCTTTTGTTTCTCATTATTTATTGTCTGTCTGCTACTGTACACAGCTGGTTTTGAAATAAACAATCTTGCARTTATTATCGTTCTGGTTTTAAGAGTGATCCAAGATCTAAACAAATAATGATCCTTTTTTAAATAAACCTTGTAATCTTACACGTAGCCGTGTAGGTGTATAGTAACTAAGTACATTTATTTCATTATACTACTTAAACAAATTTTCTTTGAGGATTTGTAATTTTACCAAGTATTTTTTTAACTTTTACTTCTGTTTCATTACATTCAAAACATAATTGTACGTTTACTTCTTTACTTTAAAATTTAACACCTAGTAACAAGTTTAAATATAACTGGAACTGATCATAAAAGGAGTTGTTTATGTACTGTAAAAAAATCAAGGGTTGGATTTGCTTAACCAAGCTACAAAAGGAAAAACATTGTATAGGTCCTCTGGACGGCTTCTTCTTTAATGAAACGTTTCGTCTCTCCTCCAAGAGACTTCTTCAGTCTGAGAGTTTCAGGCAAAATTCAGCCTTTTGAGTCCTGCCTCCAGGTGACTGATACTCACATCACATGGCTATTGTTGACACCTAATTAATACCTATTGTTAAAAGGGGGTGAAGAGATACTGCCAATGGCCGCGCTGTAGGAGGGGGACAGCTGAAAACGGAGGCCCCCACCTCTGTTTAATGATGGACGGTCTTTCTTCACAAAAATGGCTTCTTTTACTCCTCTCTCAAACCAACGTTCCTCTCTTATCAAGAATGAGAACATCCTCATCTCTGAAAGAGTGACCGCTGGCCTGTAAATGAGTGAAAACTGCAGAGTTCTGGCCATTAGATGTAGCTCGTCTGTGTTGGGACATTCTTTTGAACAGTGGTTGCTTTGTTTCCCCGATGTATAACTGGTCGCAGTCCTCCTGACACTTAACAGCATATACAACATTTCACATTTCATATCTCTTCACCCCCTGTTAACAATAGGTATTAATTAGGTGTGAACGATAGCCATGTGATGTGAGTATCAGTCACCTGTAGGCAGGACTCAAAAGCCTGAATTTTGCCTGAAACTCTCAGACTGAAGAAGTCTCTTGGAAGAGAGACGAAACATTTCATTAGAGAAGAACCCGTCCAGAGGACCTATACAATTTTTTTCCTTTTGATTTTTTACCTGGATTACTGAGATGCATCCGGACATAACCAAGATACAGTATGTGAACTGGTTCCACTAAAATGAGTTGAGTAAATGTAAGATTTTTACTCAGCTCGGTTAGTGGAACCAGTTTGGTTAAAAAAATAAATTCAACACTTAAACATATTTTTACTTTTCTGATTACTGAGAACACTTTAATGAACTTTACTTCAGTACTTTTCTTATCAGTGAAATTCATTTTTTACCAAAGTCATTTTCTGTTCAGGTATTTTTTTTCTTTTACTTGGTTATTTCTTTTAAGTATTTTACATACAGTACCTTTGTGAAGGTGGAGAGCTGGGGAAAGTACCACAACTATGGATGACCTCCTGTGTGGTACCGGTGCCAAAGACCAAACATTCTAAGGACCTCAGCAGTTATAGGACGGTTTCCCTAACGTCACGTCTGATGAAGACACCAGGCTGGCATCGGGGTGGATGATCACCTACCTCCTGAACCGAGCTCTGACCCACCTAGAGAAGCCTGGAAGCACTGTGAGGATCATGTTCTTTGATTTCTCCAATTCTTTTAACACCAGCTTCTGAGGGACAAGCTGGAGCTGTCTGGAGTGGACCACCAAATGTCCCAGTGGATTCTGAACTACCTCAGTGGCTGTATACAGTAAGTGAGGACACAGGGAACTGTGCTGGCACCGTCCCAAGACTTCTCCATCATCCACCCAGGCTGCCACCTTCAGAAGTTCTCTGATGACTCTGCCATAGTCTGCCTTATCACAGGTGAGGACGAGTCAGAGTCCACACAGTGGACTCAGGACTATGTGGACTGGTACCAGCAGAACCACCTTCTGATCAGTGCTGCTAAAACCAAAGAGCTGGTGGTGGACCTCCGCAGACACCTCGCTGACACCAGTGGACATCCAGGGGATGGACATTGAGACTAGGGGTGCAACAATACATGTACCCGTATCGAACAGTGCTGTATCGAACAATAGATTTTAGAAATTTACTTTATCAACATGTCTTCTGAAGATGCTCTGTGTTGAAGGATCAGTGGATCTGTGTTCGACTACTCCACCTAGGCTGCAGTTTTGAGCGCAGATCCACTGAGAAACTTGCTGTTTCAGCAACATTTAATTTAAAAACTGTACTTTTGAGGTTAAACAAATGTTCATAATTAATATAAATAAATTACAAGTTAAAAGTGGCATGGAAATTTCTCTTTTTTGTATCGAAAAAATATCGAACCGTGAGACTAAAGTATCGAACCGAACCGTGAATTTCCTGTATCGTTGCAGCCCTAACTGAGACAGTGGAAGGGTCAGATCAGACTCTACCTGCTGAGGAGGCTGAGGTCTTTTGGAGAACACAACACCACTGATGGGCAACGTCTTCCACCTCCTGCATGAAGCTGCAGCTGAACTGGAGAGCTCCCGCTACAACAAATATACAACAAACATAAAACACATATAAAGGTTGATGACGGGGTAATTCAAAATGTACCCAGTTTCGCAAAAATGTTTCTACTCTCTCTTGTTTTTGTTTTGTTTTTTCCAAATAGAGTTCTTGCGCTAAAGGAGTGAAGGAAACACTGTAAATGATGTATCATTAAATTTACAGTAACTTACCATGTTTATCCAGTAACTTACTGTATTTTACAGTAGTTTTACTGTCAGTACATAAAGTAGTTACTGTTTTTTTTATTTTACACTAAAGCTACTGTAAAACAAAATACAGTAAGTTACTGTATTTGTTTTTACGGTGTATGTTTAGATCAATGTGGATGGAGAGGACGGAGACTGTTCCATCTCTTAAAGAGTAACTTACCCCAAAATTAACTTTTTTTAACTGATAAACTGTCTAGAATGTGTCTAAAATGTTACATAGTACTATTTCTGTGCTAATTTTGATGTTTTTGTGCGTATTTGTTCAAATCTGTAACATTTGATCTAAAAACATGTTTTTGCTGCTCATCTGGGTGGAGCAGTGGTACTGCAGGCTAATTTGCATATTGGTTAACGGCTCTCCGCTGTGACGTGTCTTCTCCACGGTTTCGTCACAGCGGCTGTGTTCTGGTATAAAAGCCTCTCTCTAAGACACGCCCCTGCAGCAGTCAGAGGGTGGAACAGTTAGCAAGCTTAGCATGATCGTCTGTTGACCTTCAGCCTCGGGTGGAGAGAGGTGCTGGCTGCTCTCTCTCTCCACACACACAGAGAGAGAGAGACAGAGAGAGACAGAGAGAGACAGACAGAGAGAGACAGAGAGAGACAGAGAGAGACAGAC